GCCACCAGCCTGGTGGTGCTGCCTGGGCCCGGGGCACCTCCAGCAGGGAGCCAGCCCCTCCTCGCTGCGCCTGGGGGGGCTCAGGGCCGTGGCAGGAATTGCAGCCTCCCAGCAGCGGGTGGGCTCGGGCTCCTGGGGTCCCCTGGGCTGGCTGGGGCAGCCCCCAGCCCTGTGTGGACGCTGTCCCTCCCTGCAGACGTGGACGAGTGCGCGGACAACGTGAACCTGTGTGAGAACGGGCAGTGCCTGAACGCCCCCGGCGGGTACCGCTGCGAGTGCGAGATGGGCTTCAACCCCACCGAGGACAGCAAGGCCTGCCAGGGTGAGTGCCCTGACTCCCTGCTGGCCTCTGGCCTCTGCTGGCACCTCCCGAGGCAGAGCCAGAGCCCAGCAGCTGCTGGTGCCCGAGGTGCTGCCTGTGCCTGGGCTGCTTCCCGGGGCTGAGCCCGGATTCCTGCAAAATGGAAAACCAGGAGAGCAGGGGTGAGGGGAGAGGGTGGGAGAGTGGCCCAGCTGCCCCAGGAGATTGTCTCAAATGGCAGCAGGGCCATCCTGGGGTGGGTTGGTCACATCTGGGCAGGAGGAGGGAGCAGGAGCAGCCTGTCCTGGCCCTCACCCTGGCACAGCCTGTCCCCAGCTGTCTCTGTTTTGCAGACATTGATGAATGCACCTTCCAGAACATCTGTGTCTTTGGCACCTGCCAGAACCTGCCCGGGATGTTCCGCTGTGCCTGCGACGATGGATACGAGCTGGACAGGAGCGGGGGCAACTGCACAGGTCAGGGCTCCTGGGGCCTGCTCTGGGGTCTGCCGGGCTCGGCTGGGCCCATCCACGGCTTTGCCACACCTGAGGGGCTCCGTGGGGTGGGGATACACCTGGGCACAGAGCTCAGGCTGGGCTGGGCTTTCCTGGCAGTGCTCAGCTCCATCTTCAGTCCATCTGTCCATCCTTTCAGACATCAACGAGTGTGCAGACCCTGTGAACTGCATCAACGGGCTCTGCGTCAACACCCCCGGCAGCTACCTGTGCAACTGCCCCCAGGACTTCGAGCTGAACCCCACCGGGGTGGGCTGTGTGGGTGAGTGGCACTCCCACCCACACCCTCGGGGTCCTTCTTGGTCTTGCTGGAACTGGACACAACAAGGGTGGCTGTCCCCACCTGGCTGTCCCACCCTGGCTGTCCCTCCCTGGCTGTCCCCCCCTGGCTGTCCCCCCCTGGCTGTCCCCCATGGGTTTAACCCTGCAGCAGCAGCAGAGCCCAGGTCCTGATGAGTGTGTCCCCCCCTCGTGTCACTGCCACCACCGTGGGTGCCCCTCTGGTTGCTCCAGGGCAGCTCTGGAGCTGTTTTGTTCCCTGGGAGAGTCCAAGGCCAGGGTGGACGGGGCTTGGAGCAGCCTGGGACAGTGGAAGATGTCCCTGCCCATGGCCAGGATGATCCTTCAGGTCCCTTCAAACCATTTGGGATTCCAGGATCCTGGCACAGAGCCCCAGCAATCCACATTTCTTCCTTATCCCTGGAAGATTTCCAATTCCTTTGCTGCCCATGGCAGGGTGTGGGACGGGATCACCTTTAAGGTCCCTTCCATCCCAAAGCACTCCACAATTCCGTGATTCCATCCCTGCTGCACCCAGGAGCTCTGCAGGCCAGGCTTTGCTCAGCAGCGCTGTCTCTGTGCAGATACCCGGGTCGGGAATTGCTTCCTGGACACGCAGGACCGGGGGGACGGGGGCATCTCCTGCAGCGCTGAGATCGGCGTGGGGGTCACCCGGGCCTCCTGCTGCTGCTCCCTGGGCCGTGCCTGGGGCAACCCCTGCGAGCTCTGTCCTCCAGCCAACACCAGTGAGTGGGGAAGAGCTTGGGGTGGGCACGGCTGGGGAGGAGGGGAGAGAGGCAGGGACGCTTCCCGATGGATCCTCAGCTCAGAATGGAGGAGCCGAGTTCAGGATTTGCTGCTCCACCCAGGGCAGGGCAGAGGTGGAGTGGGGTGGGGGAGGCCAGGCTGTGGTGCCTGGGGGATCCAGGCTGGGATCCTCCATTCCAGGTGAGGGAATGTGGAATGCTGCCCTTGGAGGGAGGGTGGGCTCAGCTGCCTTGGCAGGTGATGAGCCCCGGCCACATCCTCGTGGCCCATTCCAGGATTCTCCTGGCTCTCCCTCCTGGCTCTGGGGAGCCCCCTCAGCTCTGCCTGCCTCTCTCCACAGCCGAGTACAAGACCTTGTGCCCTGGGGGAGAAGGGTTCCGCCCCAACCCCATCACCGTCATCCTGGAGGGTGAGTTCTCCCCGTTCCCACGGCCCTTCTGAGGGATGGGCTGCTGGGGGACCCCAGCCCTGTGGGGACACCCCTGCTGTCCCTCCTCAGACATCGACGAGTGCCAGGAGCTGCCAGGGCTGTGCCAGGGCGGGAACTGCGTCAACACCTTCGGCAGCTTCCAGTGCGAGTGTCCCCTGGGCTACTACCTCAACGAGGACACCCGGATCTGTGAAGGTACCGGGGCTGGGGACAGGCTGGCACCTGCTCCAGGGGCTGGGGACAGGCTGGCACCTGCTCCAGGGGCTGGCGACAGGGTGGCACCTGCTCCAGGGGCTGGGGACAGGGGGTGGCACCTGCTCCAGGGGCTGGGGACAGGGTGGCACCTGCTCCAGGGGCTGGGGACAGGCTGGCACCTGCTCCAGGGGCTGGGGACAGGGTGGCACCCTGTATGTGTGACAAGGTGGATGCCGTGTGTGCCAGAGCTGTGTGTGCATCCCAGCTGCCCCAGGAATGGTTGGGAGCATCCCTTCCCCTTTCCTTCCCAGATTTCCTCATCACAAACCTGTCCCCATGCCAGCCCAGCCTGGTCCCTGTGCCAAAGCCACCCATCCCTGGTGCCAGGCCTGTCCCCAGCCCTGCTCCAGCCGTGCTCTGACTCCTTTCTCCCGCAGATATCGACGAGTGCTCTGCCCACATCGGGATCTGTGGCCCGGGCACCTGCTACAACACCCTGGGCAACTACACCTGCGTGTGCCCCCCCGAGTACATGCAGGTCAACGGGGGAAACAACTGCATGGGTACGGCTCCCAGCCGGCTGGATCCGTGGGAACGGTCCGGATCTGTGGGGAGGGGGCTGGCACTGCCATCCCAGAGGGGGCTGTGCCAAGGGGATGGAGCAGAAGTGCTGGAAACAGGGGATGGAACTCAAAGCTGGATGTGGCACTCGGTGCTCTGGTCTGGGTGACAGATCAGGCGTGGGCTGGGCTCGTGTGGGGGTCTTTGCTGCCATTCCCAGGATTGCCAGTGCTGTTCCCAGGGCTGGCAGTGCCATTCCCAGGGCTGGCAGTGCCATTCCCAGCGCTGCCAGTGCCATTCCCAGGAGTGGCAGTGCCATTCCCAGGAGTGGCAGTGCCATTCCCAGGGCTGGCAGTGCCATTCCCAGGAGTGGCAGTGCCATTCCCAGGGCTGGCAGTGCCATTCCCAGGGCTGGCAGTGCCATTGCCAGGAGTGGCAGTGCTGTTCCCAGGGCTGTCCCAAGCCTGGCACTGCCGTTGCAGACATGAGGAAGAGCGTTTGCTACCGCAACTACAACGACACCTGCGAGAACGAGCTGTCCTTCAACATGACCAAGAAGATGTGCTGCTGCTCCTACAACATCGGCAAGGCCTGGAACAAACCCTGCGAGCCCTGTCCCACCCCTGCCAGCCGTAAGTCCTTCCCATGTGATCCCTGTCCCGTCCATTTTCCTCTTTCCCCATGAGATTTGGGGCATGGACACCAACGAAATGAGTGGGGAGAAAGGAGAGCGCTCGGGAGGTGGCTCCAAGCACGGTGGGGAGCCCCTGCTGCCTGCCAGGCCCCGATTCCAGCGCGCTGTCCCTCCCTGGGCACAGCCGTGACCTCGCCGTTCCCTTTGCAGCCGAGTACCAGATCCTGTGTGGGAACCAAGCCCCCGGCTTTATCATCGACATCCACACAGGGAAGCCCATCGGTGAGTGAATCCTGCATCCCCGCAGGGCCGGGGCTGCTCCCAGCCCCTGCTGTCATCCCGCAGGGAATTAAAGGTTGTAGGGCCAGGAAAAGAGGCTTGGCAGTGCCAGGGACTGAAGAGATGAGCTGATCTTTTCCTGGGAAGGAAGAGCAGCAGGGAATTGGTGGTGGGACCCCAGAGCCATCCCGATATCTGCACGGGACACTCAGAGGGGGATGTCCCGAGTGGAGCCTTCCCAAAATCCTCTGTCGGGAATGGGCAGCGTTATCCCAGCATCTCCCAGCATTCCCGGGATGCCGGGGCGGGATGCTGATTCTCTGGAGCATTCCCGGGATATCAGGGCGGGATGCTGATGCTCTGGAGCATTCCCGGGATGCTGGGGCGGGAATGCTGATGCTCTGGAGCATTCCCGGGATGCTGGGGAGGGATGCTGATGCTCTGGAGCATTCCCGGGATGCTGATGCTCTGGAGCATTCCCGGGATGCTGGGGCAGGAATGCTGTTGTTCTGGAGCATTCCCGGGATGCTGTTGTTCTGGAGCATTCCCGGGATGCTGATGCTCTGGAGCATTCCCGGGATGCTGATGCTCTGGAGCATTCCCGGGATGCTGTTCCTCTGGAGCATTCCCGGGATGCTGATGCTCTGGAGCATTCCCGGGATGCTGGGGTGAGATGCTGTTGCTCTGGAGCATTCCCGGGATGCTGATGCTCTGGAGCATTCCCGGGATGCTGATGCTCTGGAGCATTCCCGGGATGCCGGGGAGGGACGCTGATGTTGGATTGGGTGCAGATATCGATGAGTGCAGCGAGATCCCGGCCATCTGCACCAACGGCGTCTGCATCAACCAGATCGGGAGCTTCCGCTGCGAGTGCCCCATCGGCTTCAGCTACAACAACATCCTGCTCATCTGCGAAGGTAGCGCATCCCAGCGGGAATTCCGGCTCCTCCCGCGCCGGGACACTGCCCGGGGCTGCCAGCAGCTCCACGGGGGCGATTTTTGGGATGTCCTGCACGGCACCGGGGGTTGCACTCCCCGATCCCGCGGTCCTTCCCGAGCCGGGCTGTTCCCGCTGGGTGCGGCCATCCCAGCGCTGCCTCAGAGCCCCCCTGGATTTATCCTGCTGGATTTATCCTGCTGGATTTATCCTGCTGGATTTATCCTGCTGGATTTATCCCGGCGTCCCCGGTGCCATCCCGGCGTCCCCGTGCCCTCTGTCCCCGCAGACATCGACGAGTGCAGCAGCGGGGAGACGCTGTGCCAGCGGCACGCCGAGTGTGTCAACATCCCGGGCAGCTTCCGCTGCGAGTGCGCCACCGGATACCGCCTGTCCCCGGGGGGGGCCTGCGTGGGTAAGGGAACAGCTGGGGAACAGCTGGGGAACACCTGGGGAACAGCTGGATACACCTGGGAACAGCTGGGGAACAGCTGGGCACACCTGGGAACAGCTGGATACACCTGGGAACACCTGGGGAACACCTAGACACGCCTGGGAACAGCTGGATACACCTGGGAACAGCTGGGGAACAGCTGGGGAACACCTGG